GGCACAAGTGGACTGCAGTTTCGACCTCGCATCGGTCTTATCAACAGCCCCAGCGGGAGTCGAACCGTGATAGTGCAGAATGTAAGCTTGAAATGCTAACCACTCGGCCACATTGCCACGAATATCCTTTGGTCACAGAGCAGATGTGAATTTTAAGGAAGGCCAGGCCTTTTCCCATATCACCTTCTTTGGTGTGATTTTCGATGAAGCAAACGTATTTTTGCTCTTGGCAATGTGGCCGAATGACTAACGTGTCAAGCTCACACACTGCACTGTCACGGTTTGACTTCCGCTGAAGGGGTTGATTAGACTTAGGCGAGGTCGAAACTGCAGTCCACTTCAGCATGGATGAGAATACCTTTTGTGAAATTCAATAGAAACGTCAGCTCTACTCATATCATTGTGGGAAAATTGAACTGCCAGTCCCTTCATCACCTTAAACGAACTAGGGTGAACACAATTCTGATTTACTCTTGGTCTCGAAAACCTACTCAATAACGAAAAAATAGAGAAATATCTTCTGCAATTTGTAAGTTATACCAGATTCTCTTAGCCATAACCATCAGCTCACGATTCTAGTTTATGCTGTGAACAAATACTGGCCACTGTACCTACTTTTGCTACTTAACATTAGGCCCGCTTAAAAGTATTGTCAAAGAAGTTGGAATTTTCTGGTGACTTAGAAGATTATTTAACATTTTTATAAGCTGAGTTTGGCTCCCATTTTAGCGAATAATTACATATCAAGGAGGGAGGAACTGTTCATCGAAGAGGTAAAATTGACACCAAAATTATTAATGAGATATATACCCACTCTTTCTTTCTCGCACAAAGACAAAAATCTCATCAACATAACCAGACATATGTCCCATTCTGTGCAATGGGAGCGATGGTTGAACTATAGAGAAAGCGAATGATGGTGATCATCAAATCTTGATGACAGAAGAACAGACGTTACTTTTTCTATTCTACTTTCTTTGAGCCATTACTGCTGGCTTTGTATATATGCGAACATATGCGGGCACACACACACACACACACACGTGCTTCAAGTTTGACATGACTATAACTAACCAAATCACTTTATACCTCATCAAATAGCCCAAATATAGATTATATATACAGCATTTTAGAGATGAGCTTGAATATGGTTGTAAGGATGAGGTTGCTCTGACGATGTCCGTCATACGACGTACGAAAACTTAATACGTTTTCATCGGAATCGAAGGCTTCTACAAGAATGCTGCAGCAAAGCCAATCGACAACTGGTCAGGAGGAATCAGCTCTTCGAATCTTTCCACCAAACACTTCACTCGAAATGGAAGTAAACTCAGCAATTATCAGATTCTTTAGAGGAATTCTTATCAATGTCAGCAGCAATACTTCTCTCCTGTTTTTAATCATAAACTATCTGAGGCAATTCCGCAAATCTTTAGGTGCTCAGCATATTTTTAAAAATCTATTTGACGTCAATTTAGACAAATCTTTGACAACTGTATCATCGTTTTATTCCCAGGCGCCTTTATTGTCCTCGACATTTTGTTGGAGCGTATGCGCCATGAGCACGTAGTCGACGTTTTCGCCACCGTCCAGCACCTGCGTGGCCAGCGCAACTTTATTGTACAGACAGAGGATCAGTATGCCTTCATCTACGAGGCTTTGGTAGAGGCGGCCGCCTCGGGCAACACAGAGGTGCCGGCGCGCCACCTCGCCGAGCACTGGACTCGACTTACCGCACCCTTGCCACCAGGCATTGCCAACGCGAGAGGGACGAGCCTTGAAGTCGACTGCCCCGTGCCACTGACGGGCCTCGAGCTGGAGTTCAATCAACTGGCGGCCACGTCTGCTCCGCCCTCGACGCCCGGTCGCCAGACGAGGCCTGTCATCCGACGCATGGCATCGAACCATGAGAGGTCGAGTGGACGTGGCTCCTCTGGCGACCGGCCGTCCGGCCAATCGCCTGAAGCCAGGAAGTCATCCGGCTCCGGCTCTGGCTCCGAAACCTTGGGGAAACAGACTCCAGCGGCCATGTTGCCGGTGAGTACCAGTACCTTATCGGCGGTTCAACCGTTGCCACAGTTGCTAGTGGCAGAATACCCCAACGAAATTGTATCCCAGGGCTTGATACGAAAGTTGTCTGCCCTAACTA